TTTTGAGTTTTTAAAGTTTATTGAGAATGTACCTTGATTTGGCAGAATAAAATTTATTATGTAGATAATAATAATAAAAAAATATTTAATTTTATAAAAAAAATAAGAAGAAACATTTTATATCTATCTCATGTATCTTTAAGTTTATGGATGCTCTCCATGAACCAATCTCTATTACTATTAAAAGATCTTTAAAACCTTGAGGATCTTTTTTTAGGATATTAGAGTTTTATCAAATTTTTAAATTTTTATTAAGAATCTTTTCTAATTTTTTATTAATCACCTTATCCTTTCATATCCATCAAAGATTTATTTTTAAATTATTTTAAAGTTTTATATAAAAATTTTTTTTGAATTTAATTTTTTTTATAGACTTAAAATTTATTATATTGATCTTATAACTCTTCTAAAAAAAAAATTCTAAAATATATATTTGCTATTACATAATAACAATTGTATATCAAAAAGTATCATATTCTAATCACTAAAAAATTTACAACAATTCAACTATTGTTTTATTCTTAGTCTTGAATTTAAACTTATATTTATGTCATGAATATGTAGTTACTTTAATAGTTACTTAAGTAATATAATTATATAAAAATATGTAAAAGTAGATTAATTACATAATATCTTCTAAAACAACTTCCTAAAAGCTTCATAGATGTGGTTTGAGCTTTAAACATGTCTATAGGTGATTTGTAGGTTGGAAATTTGGTTAATAAGTTAGCCACATGCTACATGTGTTGATAGCTTGTCGTACAAGCTAACAATGTGGCGCACATATAAGAGACTTGTCTTAGAAGTTAAGATACATGTCTTGCAAATTAAACACATGTTGGAGGTTCTATAGAATATTGTTACGTAGTTCCTGTATAGATAGTATATATAGAAACAAAAATGAAGCCTTCTTCACTCTTGTCAATGCCTTTTTAGTATTTAGTCTTGTTTCAAGACTTTCTAGTCTTCTTATCTTTAATAATACTCATTTTAGTTTAGTATATTACTATCTTTGAGTGATTTCATAGTCTTTTCAAATAATACAAGAGTGTATTGAGATTTTCTTTCTTTGAGATTCATATCCTTGATAATTTAATTTAATATTATTTGATGGATTTTATATTTTTTATATTTTTATTTAATTTATTTCTAATATTATTTTCAATCTAATACTAATTTTATAACTTAATCTTAATTTATTTTTTTCAAATATATTTTTAATTATTTAAAAAAAATTAGATTATTTATATTAAAATTTTAGATTTTTAAAGATGTATCTTTTTCAGAGACATAAATCATTAAAAAATTCTAAAGGGACAATATATTCTTGTAACACTCAATAAAAAATAAAATAAAATAAAAAATATATCAAAGATAGATGTACAATAGAAATTAAAATTATTATTGTCAAATACTAAAAGACTAGAGATTATTGAGCTGAGATAAGAATACAAAAAAAACATTAACAAGAATGAAGAAGGCTTTATTTTTACCTCTATATATACTATTTCACTAAAGAGCTAATTGATAATGTTTGTTAGGTTATTCAACACATGTCCAACTTGCAAAACATATGTTCAACTTGTAAAGCAAGTTTTCTATATGTGCATCACGTGGCTAACTTGTAAAACATGTGGTTAATATATGAAATACATAGTCAATTTTTTGGCTAAGTTTTCAATCTACCAATCACCTAAAAATACTTATTAAGTCAAATTTCTATCTACAAAGCTTCTAAAAAACTTCTTTATAAAATATTATCAATTATATATGCTTTTATTTCTACTTAACTTCTCTATCTTCTTATTTATTAATGCCAATGTTGATGTCCATGATATTATACTTCTTCTAAAGACAAGTTATATAAAGAGAAGTAATTATATGTTTAAAAAGTCTAAAATTTAATAAATTATATTTACTACATACTCTAATCTTTGTCTTCTATAAAGGTAATTAATAGATCATCTCAATTATCAATAGTGTTCCTTATTACAATAAGAAGACTACTTTATTATTTGATCATTATTGAAGCCTTTATAACTTCCTTCAAATAAAAAAAAATAGAAAATTATTAAGAATAATTCATACCTCTAATAAAATCACCAAATATTGAAAGTTTCTTTTAAGGTTGTAATATCAAATAAGTTGTATCTTACTATCTATTTTTAAAAAAATATGTCATTCTTAAGAGTCTTCATTTCTATTATGACGTCTTGAAGGTTGTGTCAATTTTAATGCCTTATTTGATAACTTAATAAATAATAGATCTTGAGTTGAATCTATAGATTGTTGATTATACAAAAATCGTAAATAATAATAGAAGATAAAATATAATATTTATTAAATATGTTTTATTTATTGCAAAGATTTTTTTGAATCTTTATCTTAGTTTTGATGAATGTTGTGAAAAAAAAGCATTCACTTTCTTTATTGCATTTGCAAGATTCTTCGATGGCTTCCTTGTGCATTTATTAATATCATATTTGTACAAAGATACAAGGTAGTTCAACCTATTTTGGAACTACCTTGAGTCTAAGACCTTTGCTTCCTTAAAACCTTGATTGTTATTCACTTCTTTAGGAAGAGGTGTCATCTTCTTCTTGAAATATCCACTCTATTGTATGGCTTAAGAAAAAATACATGGAACAAGAGATAGAACTTTATAGATTTTAGTATGTGTAATCAATAATCTTCATGATTTTGTAAACATAAACAATCAATCCATCAGACATAAGTCACAAATAAAGAAATATTAATATTCCATGTAGATTATTTTAAGATAATTATTTGAGTTAATGTGTATTTCATTGAAATGGGACTAAAAGCTCCTGTTTCACTAAGTATCAAAATTTTCTTTGTACAATTTTATTGGTATTTTTTTGAAAATAATATATGACCTTGCAATGGACTAAATTTGTTTTGAGGTTTAAGTTGCATGAGTTGTGTAAAAATTTAAAATTCAAATTTAGCAATAACTTTTAAAGAACTGAAAAAAAAAAAAAAAAAAAAAAAACAACAACAACAACAACATTAAGCCCAACTTTAGACATTCAAGAAAAAGAAAACATATAAACACACAAGTAATACAAATTAATGCAAGTTTTTAAAACTCTTTTTTTATGATCTCACAACATCACCTTTCAAGCATAACATATAAGTGGCATGTTTCTAAAATAATGAAAATTTGAAATTGATTGATATATATATATATATATATATATATATAGTATTTTCCTCCATTATTCATGACACTTTCAAAACAAAGCTGTAAATATGCAAAATGTTGAATTGGCATATGGTAATATTGAAGTTATTTTTAACTTTTCTATTTGAAGATGTGGTAACTTTTTCCAGATTTTTATTTTTTCTAAAAGAAAAAACAAAAGAAACATGATATCTATAGGACGTAATCAAGAGATGATAAAATTGTACATGATAAGAGCATATTTGATAAAAAGAAAAAGGTGAGTATATTTCTTCAATCTTGATGTAATCTCAAAATAAAAATATAAGAAATTAGATAAATAAAATAATTTAATACATGTTTTATAACATCCCACTATTCATTGTAATTTTTTGTTTAAAAAAAAAAATCAATCATTAATGGACACAAAATCCAACAAAACAAAATCAATGAACACATCACAGATTATAACCACGTAAGCCATGACAGCTTGTCCTATTAGACACTTTTTAATCAAATAAAATCCCTTTTAAGGCCCAATGAGGCCATCCACGTTATACACAGCGGATGGAAGCGGAAGACCACGAAATCATCTATCAACGAAATCATCAAAAAGGCATTCATCCAAAGGTCCCCTTGGAAATCCTTTTCCCTCACGCGAACTGCCCAAAGTTAGATCTATATACGCATCGCAATTGGTCAAACGTGGAAACCAGGAGGTTGGCTGGGCCGGGCGAGGAGCACGGGGGGTATTGGAGCGCTCGGCCCGGCCCGGCCCGACCTGGCCTGGCGGCAACGCCAAAAGGGCGATTGAGGATAAGAATCTGGGCTATGGATGGCGGAGGAACCACACAGAAGGCCGCTTCCGATTGGCCTGCATGGAAAGTGCGGCTGACAGAAGCGACATGAAGTGCCAGCTAAGCATAAAGCAACGCACCAGCGATGGGCTTTAGTCATCCATTGGCGGTCACCTGTGGTGACTTCATCCATCCATATGGATGATCGACCAATGGGAACGCTGCATGCACCTAACTCACATAAGCTTGTATGACCAGTGCCGTTCCGGTTTCTGATCGCCCGATCCAGTTAACGCTCTAAAGTATGTAGTTTGATTTCGGGTTGGATTCTTCGGAGGTGGAATTGTTTTCTCATTTTTAGATTTTTTTTTTTGTTTTATATATATATTTTTACATCTATGGGGCGTTTTTTTTTCTTCGGGAGTGGGGAGGGGGGTGGGGATTTACCGTGAGTAGCGACAATCCAGCTGTGGTGAGCAAATGATATCGTTGCTTGTTGGCAGAATGAGACAATGCTGATAATGTCGAGCGAGAGGGGAGGCATTGGCAAAGCGGCAGAAGGGGGCGAGTTCCAGTGATTGGTCACAAGCCCTTTACTTTTTGGGTTGCAGATTATAACTTTGAGTTTGCGTCACTGAGTGAGGGAGGAGAGTGAGCTTCGAGGTTCTTTTATTGGTTTTTTTACTATATTTATTTTTTCTTTTCTTTTTCTTTTTCTTTTTTGTTGTTTTTGTTTTTTTTTTTAGTTTTCTCTGTTTTGTTTTTCCTACTTTTGTTGCAGGAGGGATTAGTAACACGTAGGATTGATAATTGAGCTTTCAGAAGATGGGATTAGGCGAGGGCAAGTAAGGCTGACATAAGTGGAAGTTCCGGTCGGCAGTGGCCAGTCCCCACAAGCGTTAGGGAGACATCCGGTTGAAGACGCAAGCGCGGTGCGTGTTGGGGTTCGACGGTGGATGGGATATGTGAATTAAGGGAGTTTCATGGATCGGATTCGTCTGCCGAAAGGTAGCCATAAATCAATGCAAAATGTGGCACGCGACTTTGGTTACGGAATAGAAGTATTACCTCACGTCGAGAGGACTTCCAAGGTAGAACCGGCACGGACAAGTTGTAGGTGGGTGAGGAACGAGTCCACGGAGTCGACCTGGCTATGCTGTGACGATGCCACAAGTTGGTACATGTCACGGTTGGATTTTGATAAATTGAGGGAATAAAACGAGGATATTATTAGCCTGGGGGGTGTCTGCATCTCTCTGACTCCGTTGCCGACGTCGTCCCAGGCAGCGTCTTGATCTTGTGTTGCCTATTGCCTTGAATAGTGGAAATTGCTTCTGCCAGCACGTTCCGGGGTAGCCGTTATAGAATGTAGTTGCGACTTGTTTTCGACACCCCTCAGTACCTCTGCGACGGACGGTCTGCAAGGTCTTCTCTCATCTCCACAGGCTTCACGTGGAGGTCCGAGTCAGGTTACCTTATCCTGCCCACGGAGAAGTCGGGAAACCATCATCGGCTCATGTACAAGCTCCTGCCATCTCCTGCTAGAACCTTGAAGTTGTCAGTGGGCTGCAGGTAACCTGTTCGATTCAGGCGAGTTGGTGCACAAGAATGGTAGCCAGATCATGAGCAGCGATGGTAGGGTTTTGGTAGACGCGGAATAGTTGGCTGTTAGGAAGGAGTATGCTTGTGCCCCAATGTAGTCGAAACCATGGTTTGCTGGCTGCAAAGCCGATTGACCTGTGATTGCTTGTGTTTGTTTTTTGTTTTATTTTTAATTTTTAATTTTTCTGACAGTGTTTAAACTTTCTAGAGTAGTTTCTTTGTTGGATGTGATACAGAAGTCATAAGCCTGCAACTTTCAAAGTGTAACGGTTTTGGATGAGATACAAAATCATGTCTTTCTCTCCTTCAATTGCGTAAGCAGAGGTTTACGGTGGGACTTTTCGTACTAGATGTACCACGAGCATATGGTTTCGCAGCAGTTGTAGATTTCTGATGCTTTCCGGATACGACGAAGATGAGGTCACCATGTCGTGATCCTGCCTAAATTATAATAAACTGAGAGCCAAGTGCATGCTTGATGGATTTGTGCGAATGACGGGAATTACTAACGCAGCCTTTCACTTGACAGATCCGGTTGGGATTATATTTGAGACGCTTTCTAATTTGTGGCTCATTTAAACCTTTCGATTTTCCACATTAAATTGTGAATAATCTTCACAACAACTTCGCACCCTTCCGCTTTGCTAGCTAGCAGTGCTGCTCTTCTTTATAATGTTGTGCTTGAGCCATTGAGTTTCTCAAACTCATAGTTTGCATACAACTCAACCCGCCTATACTAACACAAAACTGTATTTTTTTTAACCATGCCATCTGTCGAATGTCACATATGTTTAGACTCTCATTGGGAACCCATCAACAACGAATGTGAATCGCTGTTGCAGGCAAGATTGAAGCAAACTCCAGCGTGGTAGACCAAAAAAAGCTGAACTAAATGGGAGGAGTGTGGATGTTCAAGGAGGGATTCACACAGCTTGTTGAGAACCCACTAGCGGAGCCACTAGATGGCAGGAACATGACAGGGGTGCGACGCAAGGTGCTGGTCCATGTTGCTACAAACGGAGCCATTACAAACTACGATCAGCTGGAAGAGAAGTTGAGAGAGAAGGGGTGGACTCGATACTATGCTGGTGACTCCAATCTGCGGCAGTATCACAAGAGCGATTGCACTAATGATCTCATCTCTTTACCCAAATCCTTCGCTTACATTAAAACCATGCACATGTACGACATCGTGGTCAAGGTCCCAAATACCTTCGTTGTTCGAGATTCCTGACGCATCTTTAGATCGTGAGTAAGCGAGAGATCTAAGTAGCAGCTTTTTTCATGAAAACTGGCCTCCTTGACACGTTTGAGGTAGTTCAATAAAATTGCATGGAACTCTCAACATGATTCATTATCATATATTTGGTAGACCATGCACAACCATACACATACCAATAGATAGTCTTCTGTGAGTGCAGTAGCAGATGATGATACATACCCACAAGGTCATATCCTTTTCGGTTCATTCTCCTTAGAGTAGTAGTTAGTCAGATGATATAATTTAATGTGATACTCTGGCATAATATCAAAGTTACGTGATATCAAAATTACATGATATCAAAGATAAAACCATGAATGAATAAAACAGATACTGTATGTTGGAATTTTTTTGGAGAATGAAAAAACGAAAAAGAAATGGCGCTGTAAAGAAAAAATCATACACATAGAATGAGAGATTCCAAGTAGTTTATGTTATGATGTTCTAATGAAAACAGAAGATGACTTAAAAAAAAGAGTATTGGTCATGTTAAAAAAGGTGGGTCACTCTAGTTTAATATTTGAAAAATTAGATTAATGTCAATTCTCAAAGTAGAAAATTATGCAGTAAAGTAAATAAAGGTTGATTCTTACTTTAAACATTACCTGCAACATCAATTATTGTAAAACTATCTGCTTTATTTCTTCAAAGAACAAAAAGCATAAATCAATGCCAAAATAGGAATGTTTTACATTTATCTATAGTAAATGACAAGATTAAAAAAGATATTATACTAAACATCCGAATGTGTATAACAACAACTTGAATGTGGTTCAAATTAATTAGACCATCTAAATTACATGAATTTTTAATAAATATGTATTTTATAGATAATTGCAAATTTACAATTGCAAAGATTCAATAAATAAATAAATAATTTTCATAAAATCATAGATATAATACTAAAATTTAATTTTCCACATTCAGATAATTAAGTGATTTTACTTTAACACTAAGATTCATTATGAATTTGAAAAATGTAATAAAATGATATCATATAAAGTAGTTATAATTTAAATTCATTTTAAAATTATTTAAGTAATAATTATTATCTATAAAATTTTATTTTAATTTACATTATATTATATACTTAAAATATTAAAATTTAATATTTTATGATAATTCTAATTTATTTTCAATTTAAATATAGTATTTTTAATTTAAAATTTAAAAATAAAATTTAATAATACATTATAAAATTTATACTCATTATAAAATTTAATAATTTGCAACTCAAAGTTTTTAAAGTTACACAAAAATAAAAATTCTAATAGTAAATATAATTATCACACCAAAAAAGAAATCATAAATAATATATGAATTTTGTAACGAATTCAAAATTTTAAATTTATTTATAAATTAGAAATAAAAATATTTCTAAATATTGTTAGTTAAATTCATGAATTACCAAATCAAATATAGTCTTAATGGGCGTAAAAGTATAAATTAATTAATTCCATATATTCTAAATATTTATTATAATATAAAATAACACATATAGATGGAAGGCGAATAAAAAAAATAAGAACTATAAAAAAGTTAAGTTTTTAATTACATAATATTTCATTTTTTATACTTATTATTAAATTATATTATTTTTTTTACAAATAAAATTAACTTATTTATTAATTAATTTATTTATAATAAAAAACTATATCATTTAAATAAAAAAAAAATTCTTTACATTATCTTAAAAAGAAATAAAAATTCAAGTTCCAATATTATCTAAAATTTTTGAACAAACAGAAATAAGTAGAAGAGTGTAGATACAAGTGAAGTAGATAAAAATCTCTTCAAGAAAAACAAAAAAAGTATACAAAAGTTATTAGAAGACCATTTGCCATCTGGCTACAAGAACATTTTTATAGAACATTTTCATAGTAAAGCATAATAAAAATGGAAGAAAAGAAAAGAAAAGAAAACTAATAAGACACTTGTATTTAATACTATCATTTGGTATTATATTCCTAAATATGTTGAAAATGTACATAAGAAAAATAAAATATCTTTAAGAAAACTATTTATACCAATTTATAAGTTTGCAAAGAAAGTCAAGAAAAATTAATTAAAATAGCATCAGATTTTTTAAATTTAGATTTTAGAATTTAAATTTACAAAACATCAATTAATGAGAACTATTAAGTAATTAGGATTAATAATAGAAATATAAGCATTAAATACAAAAAAGGCTAAACTCATTGATGGTCCTTTGGTATCAAAGTTTATTACTAAAATATAATTCATTTCAAAAGTATATATATATATATATACATGCATAATTTATAAATTTTTTTTATAAAAAAAATACTAAAGTGATAGAAGTTAGTAAGAATATTCTAACTAATAATATTGACAAACTTGCAAGGAAGATAGATCTAGTCAAAAAAATATCAAAAAATATCAAAAAAATTAAAAAGATATTTTTGAATATTTTTAAATGAGAAATTATTTATAAAAAAAAATGTATTGGCTCTAATAAAATATTTCTTATAGACCAAAAACTTTCTTTTACAAAATGCAACTTGCCAATGATAGAGGAATATATATATATTTAAATTTATATTAAGATAATGATTAATTTATTATTAATTAATAATTAATCATAATATAAAATTTAATGCTATATTGTGTGTTCAAAAATATCTCATATTGGCCTTTGTTTTATAGAAACTATAATCATTTATTTTCTTTATTATTTTATATTTTATTAGAAATTTTTAAAGATGTTCTTTTATTTATTTTTTATATATTTACTATTTTTTACGTATTTCATGGAAAATAACCAAGATTTATTATGCTTTATAATAAAAAAATATGATATAATTCAATATTATAATAGATAATATAGATAAAAATGTAATATATTTTAATATGGACTTATGTTTTAAATATTTTAAAATATAATTTTCAATATTTAATTGATATTTTTTGGGTTCCATATTATATAATTTATAAAATTATTATTAATATTTTTAGAAAATATTCAAGATTTACAAACTCTATATAGAATCTCTCTAGAATAATATAATTATAATTCATAAAATATTTATATGATAGTTATTATGTATAATTAAAAGAAAAACTTTAACTATAATTTGGAAAATAGTTGGATTCTTGGAGATGTTTTAATTTAAGGCTAAGTCATTTAAAATTTTATCAAGGTTTTAAAGATACTTTTTATAATTATTTTAGGATTTAAGATAAATCTTATTTTAAGATTCAATAATAATTTATTATATTTATTATTATTATTTTGAATAAAAATAATGTTACTATTAATATTAATTTTCAGTCAGATCTGCTTTTTTCCTACCAATAATAGTACATCAAATATCATGAAGGTTCTTATACATATTATTTTAATACAAAACACTTGATATGCCCTTATTCATTTGTATTCTATGGCTCTATTTTATCTCAAAATTATTTTCATTTTTTAAAATCTTTGGAAATTTTTTTTCTTGATTAATTAGAATATCAAATTATATTTTTCTTTATTGCTTTTAAATATAAAATTGAAAAATCTCATTTTAAGTCAATACTAGTTGTTTTTTGTGGAGGTGTTTATTTTCAATACTTAGAGTTTTTTTTTCTTCTACTTTATTTTTCAATATTCTTTAATTAAGAATTAGATTCATAATATAATTAATCTCTAAATTTCTTGAGTTGTCACAAATAAAGAAATTAATCACTTTTGACCTTTTTAAATTTCAGATCAATAAAATATAAATGTTTTTAGACTTCACACTAATAGAAGAGACTCTAAAATTACATGATGTAAAGATTAGAAACTTTCTATCAAAAAAACCTATTCTTTGAAGAAACAGTCTTTAATGAGAAATATTTCATTTCCTTCAATTTTTTAATAATAAATCAAAACAAGATTTTAAATATCAAAACCAAGTATGATGGAACTATATACAAATTTAAAAATATAATTTATGGAACTAAATAACTTACATCAATATCTCAGTTATAAAAACCACTTTATGGGCTTATATGGTATAGTTGATTTTTTGTATCAATGACTTAATAAAACTGCAACACGACTTTTGTGTTGATGTATGCTTATATATATCTATATATATATATATATATATATTTATAAAGATATTAATATATGCACATACATATATGATTATAGCATATCATAGTATAATATATATTGATACTTTATTTTTTTATTAATTAAATTATAAAATTTAAATAAAAAATAAATATTACAAACATATATATTATATTTATAATATATATTTTATATACTAATTCATATAATTTTATTACTAAAAAAACTTTAATATATATTTAAAAATGTGTTATATTTTTGAACTTATTTTCTTTATTTGTTGATATTATTTTAAAATATATAATAAATATTCCAAATATTACCTGTTTTTAATAATTTAAAATTTTAATATATATATATATATATATATATATATATATATATATATTTAAAATATTTTGGTGATATAGGTTTAAAAATATTATCATTAACTATAAATACAAGGATTTTGATCATATTCAATCAAAAAAATTGTATAACTAAATTATTTGATGAATGTAATTACTTTCTATTAGTCTTTAAAGCAATAAAATATCTAATAAAGTAAAAATATTCTATTCCTTTTCAATAGAATATTAAACATTTTAAGTTATTGATAGTTCAATACATGATAAATATAACTTTATGCAAAAATATTCTTTTATAATTAATAAAATTTTATTATTATTATTTAATTTTAAATTAAAAAAATATTAATTTAAAAAATGTATTAAATAATTACCTCTGATTAATATTTAATATTAAGCCATTAAAGATGAAAATATCCTACAAGGTTGTTCATTAGTTTTAGAAAAAAAGAAATTAAAAAAAAATTCATGTTTTATTTTTTATCTTTACGGTTTTTTAAATTATTGGTTAATTAAATTAATTTTTTATATGTACTCTCCTAAATTTAAATGCATTTATTCAAAAAAATATCATAACGAATATTATGTAAATAGTAAGATTCTTATCAAGATTTAAATTTATACTAAATAATACTACAACTATCAATCTATATATATATATATATATATATATATGTATTTTAAATATTTTTAATTATAACTGAAAAAAATAAATTTTAATGTTTACAAAGAAATTAAAAAATTAATAATAATTGAAACCTTTATTTATTTATTTTTGGCATTTATAATCATGCATTTATATCATAGACACATAGAATGACGTATTTGATAGTTTTATAATTATAAATTATTAATATAATTATAATTTTAATAAATTCTTTATCTGTAATAGTTTTTTATCAAAA